GAGATCATGTGATATTTATCTTTCTCCAGCTTATTTCGCTTAGCATAATGCTCTCCATGATGTCGCAAATGGTAAAAGTTTCTTCTTTTTTATAGTGGCATAGTATTCCATTGAGTAGATGTACCACAGTTTTCTAATCCACTCTTCTGCTGATGGGCACTTAGGCTGTTTCCAAATCTTAGCTATTGTAAATTGTGCTGCTATGAACATAGCGATGTTCTGGTTTCTTGGGATATAGTCCTAGAAGTGGGATTACTGGGTCAAATGGGAGTTCCATTTTTAGTTTTTTGAGGAAACTCCATACTGTTTTCCACAGTGGCTGCACCAGTCTGCATTCCCACCAGCAGTGCAGGAGGGTTCCTTTTTCTCCACATCCTCGCCAGCATTTGTTTGTTGATTTGTTGATGGTAGCCATTCTGATAGGTGTGAGATGGTATCTCATTGTTGTTTTGATTTGCATCTCTGGGATGATTAGTGACTTTGAGTATGTTTTCATATGTCTCTGGGACTTCTGTATCGGACTAAATTCTTTTTTCACAGGAGTTCTAACTCTGCCAGCATGTTGATTCCCATCTTCTAGGCTCCAGAACTGTGAAACAATAAATGTCTGTGTTTAAGCTTCCCAGTCTGTGACACTTGATTATGGCAGTGGAGCTGACTCATATACGTGCTGAAAGACACTTGCTTCCAAAGGAATTCAGAGTTGGTATCCTTAGGAGCTCAAAAACTACAAGTTCAAAATAAGCAAGTTGCAGGTTTCTAGTGACTGCTTGGTGAGACACACTGGCCCATGGAGGAGAGAAGCTATCCCTTGGGGTCAGAGACAAACAGGAAGCATGGAGGGAGGTGATGTTGGGGCTTGGGGACAGTCTTCTCCCTCTGGTGCATCCTGTTGCTGTGGAGACCTTGGGATCAGCAGAGGGTGTGTTGGTGTGTTCCTGGAGTGTGTGTGTGTGTGTGTGTGTGTGTGTGTGTGTGTGTGCAGGGGTGGGCAAACTTTTTGACTAGAGGGCCACAATGGGTTCTTAAACTGGACCAGATGGCCGGAACAAAAGCATGGATGGAGTGTTTGTGTGAACTAATATAAATTCAAAGTAAACATCATTACATAAAATGGTACGGTCTTTTTTTTTTTTAGTTTTATTCATTTCAAACGGGCCGGATCCGGCCCGCTGGCCGTAGTTTGCCCACGGCTGGTGTAGGGGGTGGTTAGGTGAAGGCGCCAGTGAGAACCAGGTGTGGCAGGGCAGCAAGAGGGTGGCAGGCTTCTTAAGTCACCCATGCCTTGCATTTGTCCAAAAGGCAGGACATTCAGGGAGGGGTGAGAGACATTCTCGGGTACTGATACCATGCTTTTGAACATCATTGTGCCAGAAACCATGCCACGTGCACCATTCTCTCACAAAACTGTCCCAGACTCTAAACAAGAGTAGGTGGAATGTATATAACAACCCAATCCAGGGCCCAGGAGTTTGGAAACTCACCATTAAATAAACGCAAGAACATGTGGTTTTCAGTTAATTGTTGCCTGGGCAGACCAGCAGCCCCTGAATAATGGATGAACAGATTACTCGGACATAGTTTCACTGTGAAAGAGAAGGCTTAGGGATGGCCTGATTGCCTGCCTCCTTAGCCTTTTATTGGAATTTTTATCTTTAGATACAATCAGTAGGTGAGTAATCTTGGGAGGACACATGTGTTTACATTTTCCTCTAGGCAAGGGCATCCAGGGGTTAAGCATAAGGATTCCAGTAAACACCCGGGGTCTGCCTATGCACAGGCTTGTTTGGAAAGGTCAAGGAATAATTAGGGGCGCCGCTTTCAACACTCCCCTAAATCTCCCCTAAGTCAGAATTCTGATAAACAGGGCAGGCGGCCTTCCACACACTTCCCTTTTCGCAGAATGTCCTCCTTACAACTTTCCAACCAAGTCTTTTGTGCTCCCCAACAAATTGTGTAATAAAAATCATGTGGCTGTTAAATTGGAGGCTAGTCTAAAAATATATATTTAACATCCAGCTCTGGGATTAGAAATGTGGAAAGCATACAGCAGGCAGCAGCCCTGGGCTTTTAATTTAATTGAATCTTGGCCATTGAAATAGCTAGAGCCGAAATCATAGACTCAGCAGTGAAGGTTATTGAGGGTTTTGGTTTTTTTTAACCTCAGGTTGTCTGAGCAGTCCCATGCCCCTTGTGCTGTGTGGCCTTGGGGGAGTGGCCACACCTCTCTGCCTCAGTTGTCTCATCTGCGTGAGGTGAACAATGATCATTTGCTACTGCATGGGGCTGAATTAATTGTGATAAATTTCCTCCCTTCCTCAATCCTGTTTTTTGGCCACTGTGCCGCTCACTCTCCATCGGAGCTCTACCTCCTTGGCCACCCCTTCCAGTAGCCACTCTTTGTTCAAACTCCTGGTTGAGACTTGGGATGCCTGGAGCTCCATCCTCACCCTCTGTCCACACCCTCTGTACAGGTGAGCTTATTCATCCCAACACTTTAACTCCCACACACTCACTGTTGCTACTTCAGCTTTATCTCCCACCCTGGCCTCTTCCCTCAGTTCCAGACTCATAACTCCAACCATAGGCTTAACATATCCCTTCAAATCTCAAATAAGATTCTAGGCTTTCCTGTGTCCAAAATAAAACTCTTGGTTTCTGCTCTTCATGGTTCTGCCCTGTCCAGGTCCTGGTCCCCACATTCTCAGGGATGCTGCCCCTTCTCCCAGGTGCTGAACTATGGTGCCTTCTTCTCCCTCGCCTCATAGCTACTTCTTCCCATGCCAGGAACCCACTTACTTCTCTTTCTTTTACCTCCAGCATACTGGTCAGATCCTCTCAACCTCTTCTTGCACTATTGTGAAGGATTCTGCCCCTGCTTGCTCCATCTTCACTCAGGAGCCACAGGGATGTTCTGATCCTGTGAGTTCGGAACGTGCTCTGTGATGTCAGCTGTGGCCCTGTCTGAAAAGTCCTGAGCCAGGAAAAGCTATAAAGGACTGTGCGAGCCCAGCTGCCAACCCATACACCTCAAACACCAGATTTGTACAGTAAATGCCCCATCCTTCCCAACTTTTAAAATATGTAAAGCCACACTTGATCTGGGCCTCCAGGGAGAGGTGCCAGGACAGCTCTGGAAACAGATACTATATGTGTTGGGGGAAGAGAGAAGGGTGACATGGCTTTTGCTTGCTCCCACTGCCAGCTTTGACCAAATCCCTGTGGCCGCCCTAATCCACACTGTCTAATGGAACCCGAGCCAGCTCAGGCCCTGCAGGATGAGCCCGCTAATCTCTGGGGCTGAGAGCTCACCACCTGTCTCCAGGATGCTTTGCCCTCTTGGCCTCAGAGAGCCAAATCTGGGACCTCAGACAGGGATGATGGTACAAGTATCTTTTGACCAAGCCCTCTCACCTTTGGCCCTCAAAGATGAGATGGGGAAACTCAAGTTCATATGGTGTGAGTCACTGCTCCCAGAGACAGGAAGGCTTTATAAATGACAGAACAACTCCTTAGGGCTCCCTTATCAGCTGCAAAAGGTGGAGTGTGAGCTGCAGGGCAAGCTGGCCTGTCCCCTTCTTCCATCAGAGGCTTGCAGGCTGGTGGTTTCACACTAAGCTGGGTGCAAATCCTGCTGCTGACACACCCCAACCGTGTGACCTTGCGCAGGTCACTTAATTTTTTCAGGTCTCTATTTTCTCATCTGCAAAATGGGGCTAATGGTAAAAGTCTCTTCTTTGCAAGGTTGTTGAGGGTATGTTAAGCAGAGTCCCTGCTAATATTAAAGATTGGCTTGTACCCAGCTGGTGTGGCTCAGTGGTTGAGTGTCAACCCATGAACCAGATTCCAGGTCAGGGCACATGTCTGGGTTGTGGGCTCCATCCCTGGTAGGGGGTGTGCAGGTAGCAGCCACTCAATGATTCTTTCTCATCACTGATGTTTCTATATCTCTCTCTCCCTCTCCCTTCCTCTCTGTGAAATCAATAAAAACATAATTTAAAAATATTAAAGGTTGGCTTGCTCATGGCTTCTTCCTGCCCAGCTCTATTCTCCCTCTTTCTGTGCAGGTCCACTCAGCTCACTGTGCTCCTTTCTTCTACTCCTGAGTTTACTGCAGGGTTTTGCAAGGAGAAAGTTGGGGAGTACCTTAGGCAGCTGGAGTCAAAAGACTGGTGGTCAGGAAAGAAAGGGAGAAAGAGATAGAAAAAAGGATAAGAGACAGAGAGAGACAAAGAAAGATACAGAAAAATTGGCAGAGAGACGGAAAGGGAAAAGAGAATGGGAGAGACAGAAAAGTAGAGACCAAAATAGAGAAGCAACGAGACCAGAGACAGAGGACAGTGTGTGTCAGAGACAGCCGGAGAGAAAGACAGTCAGAGAGTCAGGTAGACAACACACATCCAAAGACAGGAAAGAAACAGACCCAGGGAATAGGAGAGGGAGGGAAAGATGTGGAGAGATCCAGTTCTTCGCACATCCCTGCTCAGGACGGGTCTCTGCCCTCAGAACAGCCTCTCATCCCTTCCCCACAATCCTTAAATATTCTCTCTCTCTCTCTCTCTCTCTCTCTCTCTCTCTCTCTCTCTCTCTCTCTCCTCCACATCTGCCACAGCTGCGTTCTGACCCGGCAGAGGCTGGCACAGGTGAGTGTGGCTACAGAGGCGGCGGGCCTGGGGGTGCGCTGGGGATGGGCCCCAGGAAGAGTGGCCCAGGGCTATCGGGAAGGGGAAGGATTTGCGCGCTGGAGATAATGGTCGGGCAGGGGCCCCTGTGATAAGGTTCAGACTCACTGGTGTTGAGAGCAGCGGGGGCGGGGCTGGGACAGTGCCGAATTGATATCCCACCTCTTCTCTGATAGGCTCGGCCAAGATTTATTGGGCGCCTCCCTCTCCCTAGCTCCCGGGGCTCCCCAGTTCTCCCCGGCCAGGCAGGCACTCGGAGCATTCTTCGATTCCGTGTTCTCCCCGTCCATCCGGTCTCCTCCCGCAGCGGGGGAACCAATGGCCGGGCCCCGGAGCATCCTGGATCCACCGCTGCAGGCGCTGCTGCCACCGATCCTGGTGCTGATGCTGGCGCAGGCGGGCTCGGCTGCTGCGGCGGGCTCGGTGCGCCTGGCGGGCGGCCTCACGCTGGGCGGCTTGTTCCCGGTGCACGCGCGGGGTGCGGCGGGCAGGGCGTGTGGGCCGCTGAAGAAGGAGCAGGGCATTCATCGGCTGGAGGCCATGCTGTACGCGCTGGACCGCATCAACGCAGACCCCGAGCTGCTGCCAGGTGTGCGTCTGGGGGCGCGGCTGCTCGACACTTGCTCCCGGGACACGTACGCGCTGGAGCAGGCACTGAGCTTCCTGCAGGCGCTGATCCGTGGCCGCAGCGACGGCGGGGAGGCAGCCGTGCGCTGCCCTGGCGGCGTCCCCCCGCTGCGCGCCGCGCCCCCCGAGCGCGTGGTGGCTGTTGTGGGAGCTTCGGCCAGCTCAGTCTCCATCATGGTCGCCAACGTGCTGCGTCTGTTTGCGGTGAGGGCCGCTGGCCGCGTTCGGTATCCAGCCCCTCCGTCCAATCCTTTCCCTTGGGGTGGCGGAGGTGTAGTCTCCTTGCAGAAGTCACTCCAATTCACAAAGACAAACAACTGCTTCAAAAGAAGCCTATGGGTCCAGCCAGACACAGCCTGAGCCAGGTCCCCACCACTTCAACCTCCCTTGTCTGCTCTGGCGCCCTCCAGCGGCTGCCGCCCCCACACAGCCCGCTGTGTGAATAAGGAAACCAACCCCCTAGCTGACAGCAGGGCGCCCTGGACTTTAGACCCCACTTCACCGCTGGTGTCCTAGTTTGGGGCATACGCTGCACAACCATACATGGAGGTCCTGACCCTGGACCCTGGTGGAGAGCTCTGGGTGACAAGGAGCAAGTTTTTCCCGGAATTAGGGCCCTCCTAACGGTGTGGCAAGCCGCACAAGTTCCTGGCTGCTCTGGGGGTGGGTAGGTCTGTAAGGACCTGTACTTGGATCCTCTACTCTGATCATCATTTAAATTCAATATCAAAATGGCTGTCTCTAAAGGTCTCTTAAGGGGCCTCTGAAAGGGGCCACAGAGGACTCTCCTTTCGTCTGCAGTGCCCTGTCCTGTAGGAGAAGCTTGGGCAGGCCCCGCCCTGCCCTCATCTCTTGCTAACCGTCTTCTGTGGGAGGCAGCACCTTCCTTGCAATCTGAGGGTCAGTGACTTGGGGAGCCATAGGGATCAGGGATTGGGGGGCCTTTACAGTAGAGTTGGTGATTTTCTGTACATTCACTTGGGGGTAGGGCTTCTGGGACAGTTTTACTGGGGTTCCATGAGGGGGGTTATCTCTGACCTTTTATCTTTCTGAGAAAAGAGGAAGGCTTTGCTTCCATCTGGCTAGGCAGGGGCCCTCTGTTTCTTGAGTTTCTCTGAGTCTCCATGACACTAGGTGGAGGTTTTCTCAGGGACCCTTCCATCGTCTGCACCCACTTAATCCCTCATACCTCAGTTTCTGCTGGATGGCAATGTTGGTGCAGAGCATACAGATGCACCTTCTACATGGCACCAAGGGAGGTTGTGTGGCTGCCGAGAGAGAGAGAGAGAGAGAGAGAGAGAGAGAGAGAGAGAGAGAGAAAGAGAGAGTGTTGTGGGGGGGGGGGGGGAGGTGTCTTTGTCTCACCAGTTCATGTATGTTCACATTTGTGGGCAGGCTCTGTCTCCTTCCCTGCCTGCAGCTCTGGTTTCTGTCTCTCCTTCTAGGTCAGGTGCAGCATCTCAAACTCAAGGGCCTTCAGGGTCCAAGTGAGAACTGTAGCTGAATGAGCAGGACCCTGTGAGCCCAGGGCCCAATGCTGCCAGCTCAGCCCAGAACTGAGGTGGTGCTGAAACCACAGATTTTAGACACTAGCCCTGAATCAAGTGTCCCTCACTAGCTCTCTTGTCTGTTCTGACCCCTCCTGGGGCTGCCCCCACCCACACAGACCACCCCTTAGTGTGAAGTAGGAAAACTTGTCTCCTCTGGGACTGATAAAGATGTCCTTCTCCAGGGCAGACACAGCCTGTGCCTAGAGGCGAGATTGGCTGCAGGCTGGGCTTGAGCACCCACCACTCCTTTGCTCAGACACACCCTGCACAACTGGATGTGGTGGCCCTTGCCCACTCCCCTAGACCCTCATACCTCCCCTATTTCATCTGACCTATTCACAAGATGCAGGTCTTTCCCCACACCTTCTGCCACTCCCAGTGGTTCTTAGCTCCCTACCCCAAACCTTCTGTGCCCCCACCTGCATCCTGAGTCCCCATTGCCCTCCCTTCCTGCGGTCACTGAACCTCTCTCCACAGCCTAGGTGTTCTTTCCCCCTCCAGATTCCCCAGATCAGCTATGCCTCCACAGCCCCTGAGCTCAGCGACTCCACACGCTACGACTTCTTCTCCCGTGTGGTGCCTCCTGATTCCTACCAGGCCCAGGCCATGGTGGACATCGTGCGGGCATTGGGATGGAACTATGTATCCACACTGGCCTCTGAGGGCAACTATGGAGAGAGTGGGGTTGAAGCTTTTGTGCAGATCTCCCGAGAGGCAGGTGAGTTGGGACAGGAGAGCCAGAGGCACCAAGGAACCTACAGAGGGGAGAACCAGGGGCTGTGAAATAGGGGCACTGGGGCCATAGTGGGGAGCCTGGATGTGTCTTCTATCAGCGCCCCTTTCCTTTGGAAGACTCAATCCTGCCTCATGGCCTGGTAGATGGGGCATAGGCTAGGCTTTACCCCTGAAGAACCCTGGCCCAGACTCCTGAGTGATCACACTGCAGAGTCATGTACTCTGGCAGCCCCAGTGAGTGGTGGGATGGATGAAAGCTGACTTTGACATCCTGGACACTCAGGGGGAGTCTGTATTGCCCAGTCCATCAAGATTCCTAGAGAACCGAAGCCAGGAGAATTCAACAAGGTTATCAGACGACTCATGGAGACTCCCAACGCTCGGGGCATCATCATCTTTGCCAACGAGGATGACATCAGGTGGGATGGATGGAACCTCAGTCACTATTCTTTGGATACTCTCCTTGAAGGCCCTGCCTTGTCTTCTCACTCATCCCCACATGCACATCCTCTCTTCCTCCCTTTCCTTCTTTCTTGTGCCCCCCCACCCCCACCCCCCGACACACACACACACACACACACACACACACACACACACACACACACTTTTCCTGCTGCAATCTCTGCCTGGTCTGTTCTAAGAGGAGATGCTCTAAGTCTAGCCAGGAAAACACACAAGAATACATGCCTGTTTTTATAATTCATAGTGGGGAAACCTGTGGGCAGATCTAAGTGCAGAAAATGAGCAAAAGGGAAGGAGCCCTGGGGCAGGGCCAGCAGGAGGCTCTGTAAGAGAAAGGTGGCCCTACTTCCAGGCAGTGTGAAGTGCATCATAGTGCATGGAGCAAGAGGGCAAGCCCAGACCAGGGCCTGGTTGGACCCCTGACCACCTCAGAAGCCCAGGGCAAGTGTTCTAAACACTCTATGCTCCATTTTCCTGATCATTGAGGATATGATGAGTGATGTGGAATGAGATAGATGGAGAGAGAAGAATGAGAACTGACTAGAGGTAAGTTGAAGGAAGATCTCAGAACTTTATTCACCCTCAGCCGTGTTTATACCAGGAGGGTCCTCGAGGCTGCACGCCAGGCCAACCTGACTGGCCATTTCCTGTGGGTTGGCTCAGACAGCTGGGGAGCCAAGATCTCACCCATCCTGAACCTGGAGGACGTAGCAGTGGGGGCTATCACTATCCTGCCCAAAAGAGCTTCCATTGATGGTGAGTGTAGGGATGACCTCCTCCACTTTGTCCCCTACCCCCACCCCATCCTTTTCCACCATCCCTCTTGAGGCACTCATTTACCCCATTGGTAAAATTATACTGTGATCCAGGTCCCTTCTAAGATTCCCAAGTTCTATGATTCTGAGATTCTGTAAATACATCCCTCCCAGTAGTGTTTGAATGAGTTGGCAAATAAGGAAAAGCACAGCCACCATACAGGGTAAAAAAATTGTTTTTTAGTTTGTGTTTTTTGTTTTGTTTTATTTTTTAATTCAACACCTGTATTCCTCATTCTGTCGAAGGCATTATGATTTTAGGGTGCGGGTGGGAGAGAAACCAAGGAGATGGGACTTACTGTCCTGTTGCTCAAAGTAATGAGGCCGCCCCTCCCTTTTTCCTTCCCACTATCCCATCTGTGAATATCTGGAAGAATCTAGCAGGGATGTCCACTTTACAACAGTATTGCTCATTTTCCCAAAGGCTGAATGAACTGCAGATAACTTGATGAGAGACTTCAGGGCTATATGTAAAGTGTGGACCCTCATAACACTGAGCCCTGCCTCCCACACTAATACCTCTTGGGGTATATATTCACCCTCACATCCTTTCCGCAGGCGTTTTTTTAGAATGCATTCAGTTGCAAGTGGCAAACTAGACTCTTTACCAGAAGAGTCTCAGCAATGAAAGCATTTCATCACAAGACTTCAGGTTTGGGGCAGTGAGTCAATGATGTTCTCAAAGCCCTGAGCTCTGTCCTCCCTTCTGTTTCACCACCCTCTGTGGCTTCATGCTTGTGGCATCATATTTACAAAGTGGCTGCTGAAGCTCCACCCACTACATGTTCACAGCAGCATCCTAACCAGGAAAGAATGTGCAGCATAAAAGTATTTCATGTAGTGAGGCTCAGGTTTACATCAGGATGCAAATTTTATCCTGGAGTCCCCAGATGTCTTTGAACTCACAGGCCAGAAGTTGGTTCAATGGCGCTTCCTAGCTGCAAAATGAGCAATTGGTGAAGGGACACAGGGTGACTGTGCTGGCTATGGTTACCACCCTTCTCCCCCTCCCTCTCAGGATTTGACCAGTACTTCATGACACGCTCCCTGGAGAACAACCGCCGGAACATCTGGTTTGCAGAGTTCTGGGAAGAGAATTTTAACTGCAAACTGACCAGCTCAGGTACCCAGTCAGACAAATCCACCCGCAAATGCACAGGTGAGAGTGTGGCAAGGAAGGTGATGGAAAAGGTGGGAGGCCAGTTTAGGTATCTGGGGGCCAGGCGCATTTCCTCTGGGCATCCCTAGGACAGGTGAGGAACGCATCGGCCGGGACTCTACCTACGAACAGGAGGGGAAGGTGCAGTTTGTGATCGACGCAGTGTACGCCATTGCCCATGCCCTACACAGCATGCACCAGGCGCTCTGTCCTGGGCATACAGGCCTGTGCCCAGCAATGGAGCCCACCGATGGGCGGACACTGTTGCAGTATATTCGGGCAGTCCGCTTCAATGGTGAGTGGATGCCAGAACTCCTATGTGAGAGAGGGGAAGTCCCTGAGATGGATTTCTCTGTGGGACGTGGATGAGTGGGGAGCAAAGGGATGGGAGAGGCAGCATGGTATAGGGAGCACCTGCACCTTTGAGCTGGGGACTTGAGCCAAGTTATGAGGACCTCTTTTTAACACTCCTCCTTTCTCAGGCTTCAGCACCCCCTTTCCCAACTTGAAAAATGTTGGTGTTGGTGAATTTCTCTGTGATTCCTTCTGCCTGAAACCCTCAGCAGGTCACACACAACTCTCCCCTTCACTGCACAGAGCTTGAAGGCATCTGGTCTCTCAGGGCACAGTGCATACAGTGAAGAGGCACTGCCTATGACACGGACATGCTGCTCACTGTGAGTCTCGAGCTTCCAAATGCTGCCCCAATTAGCTCCTGCACTGCCTGAGCACTGGGAACCAGTCTGATGTTTCCCCTTGTACCAGCAGAGGGCCTGGCACATGGTCATGGCTCTGAAAAGGCCCAATGGACATGGCTGTGCTTGTGGTTTGTGGGGAGAGATACAATTCTTGTACAATAACTGTCCTTTAGAAAATTAAAACTATTCGTCCACCTGATATTGAGAATCTTCTCTTTGCCACGCTCTCTGCTAAATAGCACAGCTGAATTTCACTCCAGACCAACCTTACAAGCTAACAGAACAAGCCTCTGAGAGAATTAAAGCTGACCAAATTAGTACAAACTTTATGTCAACACTCAGACCTTTATTCAAGTCTGAACTCATCCTTTCACCTGAACAGTTAAGATTTCTATTTTCTTTTATAATTGTGGTAACATACATATAGCTTAATATAGTATATTTACCATCTTAACTACTTTTAAGTGTACAGTGTAGTCATATACATTGTTATGCAACCAATCTCCAAAACTCTTTTCATTTTGCAAAACAGAAACTGTTATCCTGTTAAACAACTTTCCAGTTCCCCCTCCCATGGCAACCACCATTCTACTTTCTGTCTCTATTAATTTGACTGTTCTAGATACCTCATATTGGTGGAATCATGCAGGATTTGTCTTTTTGTGACTGGCTTATTTCACTTAGCACAATGTCCTCAAGGTTCATTCATGTTGTACATGTGTCTGAATTTCCTTTTTTAAGGCTGACTAATATTCCATTGTATGGATAAACACTTTTTGTTTATCCATTCAACTCCCAATGACGCATGGTCGCTTCCACCTTTGGGCTGTTGTGAATAATGCTGCTATGAACATGAGTATTCAAGTGTCTCTTTGAGTTCCTGTGTTTAGTTCCTTTGTGTTTATACCTAGAAGTGGAATTGCTGGGTCATGTGGTAATTCTACCATACTGTTTGAGATCCACCAAACTGTTTTCCACCTGACTGCACAAGGTTCCTACCAGCAACACATAAGGTTCCAGTTTCTCTGTGTCCTGGCTGATCCTTGGTATTTTCTAATATTTGGGCAGGGGGTGGTATCTCACTGTAGTTTTGCTCGGCATTTCCCTGATGTTGAGCATCTTTGCGTGTGCATGTTGAGCTCTTCCTTTATCCTGGCGGGGCCTTTGGCCTCTCCAGGAGGCTGGCTGGGATGGGCTGGAGAACCACTGAGGATGCCAGGCTCTCCCTCCAGGCAGTGCAGGAACCCCAGTAATGTTCAATGAGAACGGAGATGCACCCGGGAGATATGACATCTTCCAGTACCAGGCGTCCAACGGCAGTGCAGGCAGTGGCGGATACCAGAGCGTGGGCCAGTGGGCGGAGACGCTCAGGCTGGACGTGAGTGACCTCGGGGTGTGGGAGGCGGGCCCGCCAGTCCTGGCAGCGGAGGGCAAAGGCCCTGTGTCCCATGTTGCAGATGGACGCCCTGCAGTGGTCAGGAGACCCATGGGAAGTGCCGGCATCTCAGTGCAGCCTCCCCTGTAGGCCTGGGGAGCGGAAGAAGATGGTGAAGGGCGTGCCCTGCTGTTGGCACTGCGAGGCCTGCGACGGGTACCATTTCCAGGTGGATGAGTTCACCTGCGAGGTCTGCCCAGGGGACATGCGGCCCCTTCGCAACCACACCGGCTGCCGCCCCACACCGGTGGTGCGCCTCACCTGGGCCTCTCCCTGGGCCGCCCCACCGCTCCTCCTGGCGGTGCTGGGCATCACGGCCACCACCGCAGTGGTGGCCACCTTCGTAAGGCACAACAACACACCCATTGTCCGCGCCTCGGGCCGCGAGCTCAGCTACGTGCTGCTCACCGGCATCTTCCTCATCTATGCCATCACCTTCCTCATGGTGGCCGAGCCTGGGGCGGCCGTCTGCGCTGCTCGGAGGCTCTTCCTCGGCCTGGGCACCACCCTCAGCTACTCTGCCCTGTTCACCAAGACCAACCGCATCTACCGTATCTTCGAACAGGGGAAGCGCTCTGTCACGCCCCCGCCCTTCATCAGCCCCACCTCGCAGCTGGTCATCACCTTCGGCCTCACCTCCGTGCAGGTTGGTCCCCAGACTCCAGATGGGGAGGCGCTGACCTCTACTCAGAGAGTCACTCTTCTGTTTTGGAAAAACATTTAGCCTTGGGAGAGAGGGCCCTGCCCTTCTCCTATGAGGAGAACTCAGTTAAGAGCAGCCATTCCTCCACTTCATCCTGGAAGGAAAATGGGTTCCCATATAAAAAATAAAGCAAAGAAATATCTGATACATTTTCCACAAGCAAAGAATCTGTTTCCATAAAGGGAGTTACTGCTGCCCAGTCCCTGGTGACAGGCTCAGGGCCTCAGTAATGTACCTAACTGTGGAGTGGAGCATCTTGTTCCATAAATGGCCAAATTTCATGATGTATGGGCAGCAAAAGCAGAGTTCCTATGGGTCTTTCCACAGCTTTGAAAATGATTCTGTGGCTGGGAAAGCCCTGGATGTTTTCTGTGCAAAGGGTACTAAGAGAAAAGTACTAAGAGAAAGGTGTGTATGACATTGTGTGACACTGTAGAGCTAGCCCAGTTCTCAGGGCCAGGTGGACAGCATGCTCTCCATTCCAAGTGAGCCCTTCTCCCTACCCAACCATGCATGTATCATGTTCATTCCTACCCACAGGCCTCGGTCCATGCAGTTCGCAGCTGGAAGACACTTCCTGCACATGCAGGGCTTGAGCCTCCTCTACCAGGCAGGGCCAAAATCTCAGTGCCCAGCTCATCCTGAAAAGGCATCTCACTGCCTCTCTGCCTGAAAACCCCATGACACAAGACAAAGATGCTTATTAGAATACATCAGTGCCTCCAGCTCACCCAGGGGCTCCCCACATTATGCCATCATTTCCAGAAACCCTGGACCCTTTCCAAGAGGCATACTTTCAGTTTTACTAGGTTATATACCAAAATGATGGATGTCCAATGGTATCTCACTGTTGTTTCAATTTGCCTCACTTCGTTGCTAGTACAATGGCCTTTGCAGTGTTCTCTTCTGTGGCATGCCTATTCCTATACTTTGATCATTTTCTGTAATTTTGTAGGAGTTAGTTACATGTGTTGGATCCTAATTCTTTATCAATTACGGGGATGCAAAATCAGTGAGCTACATTTTGCTTGCTACTCCTGCGTATCACAGGCCTTGAGTATTAGTTACTCATGGGAAACATTTGTCCCCCACCTGGAGTCTTGCTCTAAGAAAAGCCTCCATGCTGCCTTTTGAACAGTGGATGACATTTTATTAGTCTCTTGTTCATGAAGCTGCTGCCTTTGGGAGGATCACAAAAAAGATGTTCCTTCTGGTTGTACAAATTATTATAAAGCATCCCCTCCTCCAGGATCACACAGCCCTGCTCCAGGTGCACAGACCTACCTCACCTCCCTATACCCTCCCCCTAAATCAGACACACTTGTGCAGGGAATGAACGTATGGGCAGCCCTTTCAGGGTCCTGACTTTATGCAGGTGTTTTATTTCCTGCTCCCCAGCTGCCCTTAGCTCAAAGTTATATCTCCTGTCATTGAGGAAATTGAAGCTCCATTTCCTCATTGTTAGGACCGGTGTCTTACTCTGGTAACCTCCCAGCTGCCCAGCATCAACTCCTAACATCCTTACAATTCTCCATTAAGGGCCTCTTCAATTTAGGCTGCATTGTGCATTCACACATTATTTCATTACATCCTGTTCAACAGTTCTCTGGATCTGGAGAAGAAAGGGGGTCCTCAGGAAATAGGTTTGCCATGCTGCTATATAGAAACAAGCTAGTGTTTCACATTTACAGACTGAAGGTGATACTGCCTACTGGATGGTTGTGAGGAGAGAACATCTCTGCTGGGTCTAGCCCTTAACCAGTGGTACATACACCATTCCCCCTCCAAGCTGGCATCATTTTCTTAAAACAGATTATGATGATTCCCATTCTATAGATAGAGAAGACATTCAGGATCAAAATTCCACAGATTCTGTCTGCAGTTACTGCACCTTGCAGGGATCAGTAAATGACATTGGTAATGGCTGGAATATAGGAAGAGGATGTCCAGGGGCCCCTTACCCAACCAGCCCTGACATTGTTAGCACATACCTCCACTGCAGCCCCTTCTCTCTACTGGACCATGTCACAGGCCTGAGTATTCCCCTCCTGGAAGGCCCTCTTCTCTCCATAGTGGTTCTCTCAGACCCAAGCATCCCCTCACAGTAGGTCAGGAGCCTCCAGGGGACCCTAACCTGCCAGAGTCCTCAGTAGGTGGCGAGTTTTAGTGTGTCCCTGATATGATGTTGTCTCCTGTAGGTGGTGGGAGTGATGGCATGGCTAGGGGCCCAGCCTCCACACAGCGTGATCGACTATGAGGAGCAGCGGACGGTGGACCCAGAGCAAGCCAGAGGGGTGCTCAAGTGCGACATGTCAGATCTATCTCTCATCGGCTGCCTGGGTTACAGCCTCCTACTCATGGTCACATGCACAGTGTATGCCATCAAGGCCCGTGGTGTGCCTGAGACCTTCAACGAGGCCAAGCCCATTGGCTTCACCATGTACACCACCTGCATCATCTGGCTGGCTTTTGTGCCTATCTTCTTTGGCACTGCACAGTCAGCTGAAAAGGTAATTTGGGGTCTTTTCTTGGTTTCTCTACCTCATTTGTTTCCTACCTTCTGCCACAGAAGGAAGGGCTCAATTGTCCCAAGAGCTGGGTTACACATATGAACCCGGCTTCGTTGGTTGATTTATTCCTGTAATTAAATACATGTTCAATTGCCCTCTGCTTGTTCATTCAGCCATTCATTCATCCATACTTCTAACCATTGATTAATCTTTCATTTAATTATTACTTCATATACTTTCTATCTACTGATCCATTGATCTATTTGTTTGATCATTATTCACTCATCTATTCATTTGTATAGAACATTTGTTTATTCATCTATATGTTTGCTCACTTTTACCTTTATTCAATCTCAGTTTGTTCATTCATTTGTACATTTGAAACCATGTCCATTCATTCATTAATATCTTCTAGACTTTTTTAGCCATATGGACCATTTCCCCAGGTGTCACTTTCTGTGAATAAAACTGTCTTCCCTCAGAAGCTGGTCCACTCAGTGCCATGTCACTCACCCTCCATCCTGCCTACACTGGAGCCACACTGTGACTATCCCTTCTTCATGCCACAGGGCCTTTGCTTATGCAGTTGTCCTTTTCTAAGTGCTCATTCCACGGCTATGTGGAGGTGGGGGTAAGAGAAAACAGGGCTGAGTCCCACCTGGTCCCTTTTTCCATGTCTCAGATATACATTCAAACCACCACACTGACTGTGTCCCTGAGCCTGAGCGCATCGGTGTCCCTCGGCATGCTCTATGCACCCAAAACCTATGTCATCTTGTTCCACCCGGAGCAGAACGTACAGAAGCGGAAGCGGAGTCTCAAAGCAACCTCCACAGCAGCATCCCCACCCAAGGGTGAGGACACAGAGGCCCCCAAGTAGTGAGAAGCCTTCTTTTCTTTCCCTTGCTTCACAGTGGGAATTGTGAGGAGTCTAGGCATGCAGTGAATCAGAGAAGGGGTCCACGGAGGCTATGCCCAGCAGGACCTATCTTGAGGCTGGCCTCCAGAAAGACCTGCCCACATTCCAATGTTATCCCTTTTTTTCTGTGCATGTTGGCATATTTCCTCACTGCAGACTAGACTTTCTACCCATGGTGGGAAATGGCCATGGCAAGGCTTCTATTTCTAGAGAGAGACTCAACTTACACTCTCTGGTTTGAAGTTGAGAGATCACAATGACTTCCTGGGTTTGGCCATTGTGAGTGATATTTCCACTCCTTCTTCAACCACTAGAACATAGGGACTGGGCCCTGTGTGAGAATGTGCAGGCCCCAGAGTGAAATACTGGGTTGGAGTTGGGGAGGAACAGTTTCCACAAAACCAGATCTGTGGATCTGTATACTAGACTGAGCAACCTGGGTTTGGCACAGGCAGATGGAGCCTTGGGTGAGATCCCTGTGAGAGAGGATGGGCCTGCAGAGACAGGGAGGTGAGCAGAGGTACCAGGTGCACCCCATGAAGTTACTTGTGTGAGGGCATTTTCCTTGGAATCTTGTCCCCTGGGATCTGAGGGGTGTCACACTCAGAGTACAGTTTTTTTCCTTTCCCATCTGTACTTCCTTAAATGACCTCTAATAGATGCACTTATGTGGTGTGAGTGGTGTGAGAATAAACTAACAAGGATGGCATTTGCCCTCCTCTGATGCCTGAGGGATTGTTTTCAGGAGTTCCAGGGTGGGACCAGTGACAAAAAGAGTTGTATACATAGTGAAGATTAATTCCAAGTGGATAATGTAGAATGAATATAAAATGCTTCTTTTCCAACACTCACTGGGAAGTCCCCTTTGAAAGGCAAGCATAGGCATGGGGAGGAAGATGCTTGCACTACAGATGCATGGGTGTTTATTTCTCAGTAATTTTTTTTTAGGAAAAGGGTGGTTTAAGTGATTTAATTTATTTCCTTGGGGTAGAATTTAAATTTAAAATTGACTCTTTTTGTTAGTGTGAATTCTCTAGTATCTAATGTCTGGAAATGATTTGAAGATCAACCACACTTCATATGACATAGAGACTATTTCCTATACATACTCTCTGGTGCATATAAGTTTTGACTAGGTGTTTCTGCATTCTTTAAATTAATAGGGTGTCGCCTCAGAGTAACATACAAAGCATACAGATTCTCCTTTCTCACACATGTTGCATTCCCAGGGTTTGTTTCTCTGCATTGTTAATTATGAAGTTTTATATATTACTGAATGATTTCCCAAATTTATTATTTCATAGGGTTACTTCCCTGTGTGGGTTTTCTTTTGTATAATGAATTGTGTTTTCTTGCTGAAGGTTTTTCCATAGTAGTGCTTTTATAGTTTTTTTTTCTCCTATATGACCTTGTAGAGAGTCAATGAGTTCTGATCTCCAAATGAAGGTCTTCCTGCATGTACTATTTTCTTGGTGTTTCTCCCAGTCTGAATTCTCTAGTGTGCTATAAATCTTGATTTCTAGTTGAAAATTTTTCCACATTTGTTACATTTTTTTGTGTCAGAGAATGGTTTTCCCCATTCTGAACTCTATGACTCAAGAGTTCAGATGATTTCTTAGTAAAAGCTTTACCACATTTGAAGGAATTCTCCCTATATAATCTATGATGTGAAGTAGAGTCCTGGCTTCCTGCTGAAAACTTCCACACTCCCCACATTCATTACTACCTGTCTCTGACATAAATTCCCTGATGCACAGTGAGTTCTGTCTTCTTCTATGCAACCTTCTCACATTAATCCACTGTCCATGATTCAACAGCATGAGCCATTCTGTGTGCAGTGGACATCCTCTATTCCTAAAGGCATTATCACATTTAGTACACTTATGTGGTCCCTTTCTGAATTCTCCAATGTATTCAAAGGTTTGACTTCTGGAAGAGGGCTTTCCCACATTCCATGTCTACATAAGTTCTCTCCCTTTGATCATTTCTTTGATGCTCAGTGGAATTCACAATTCCCTGAAGGTTTTCCCCTATGTACAATGTATGGTATCCAATCAATCAATTTGAACTCCTAAATAAAGATTTTTCAAATTTTTAGAATTTATAAGTATTCTACCTGCATAGTTTCTTTTATGTTGAATAAAAGCTAAGCTATACTTGTAGGCCCTCTCACATTCATTGGCTTCTAATGATTTCTCCCCAGTATGAATTATATGTTCCAGTGGAAATAGGATCTGGATTGAAGACTTTTCTACACTATAATCACAGTATTTCTCTCCAATATGAGTTCTTTGAGGATAAGATTCCATTTTGGCTTTTACTCACCCATTTGTAAGGCAATGTTTTTGTGACTTCTATAGGGGGCACATTTTAATACTAATTATATTCTTATGCCTTTTCATTAGTGTGAATCTTTGACACATTTATCACATTTATTACATTCTGTGTTCTTTAGAAATTTCCCCCAAATTTGTTACACTCATTGCCTCTCACTTTATTCAATGATTCTTATTAAATAAACTAATGGCCCAGTGCACAAAATTTGTGCACGGGGAAGGGGGTGTTCCTCAGCCTGGCCTGCACCCTCTCCAATCTGAGACCCCTCGAAGGATGTCCTACTGCCAGTTTACAGGGATCGGGCCTAAACGCAGTCAGACATCCCTCTTGCAATCCGGGACTGCTGGCTCCTAACTGCTCACCTGCCTGCCTGCCTGCCTGATTGCCCCTAACCACTCTGCCTGCTGACCTGCTCACCCCCAACTGCCCCCCGTTGCCAGCCTCCTTGCCCCCACCTTCCATCCCCACTACTCTGCTTGCCCCCAGCTGCCACCCTGCTGGCCTGCTCACTTGAAACTGCCCGCCCCCCCGCTGTCCTGATAACCTCCAACTGACCCCCACTAATGGCCTGCTTGCCCCCAACTGGCCCCCCTGCTGGTCTGCTTACCCACAACAGCCCTGCCCCGCAACAACCTGATCACCCACAACTGCCCTCCCCTCTTGGCCTCTAACCGCCTCTATCTTGGCCCCACCACCATGACTTTGTCCAGAAGAATGTCCAGAAGGTCTCCTGGAAGGTCTCCCAGTCTAATTAGCATATTACCGTTTTATTAATATAGATAGAGGCCTGGTGCATGAGTGGGGGCTGCCTGGTTTTCCCTGAAGGGTGTCCCAGATCAGGGTGGGGGTTCCCTTGGGGCATGGGGTAGCCTGGGCGAGGGGCTTGTGGTAGTTTGCAGACCAACCACGCCCCCATGGGGTGAGGGTCCCCACTGCGGGGGGCGTGGCCAGCCTGGGTGAGGGGCTAATGGCTGTTTGCATGCTGGCCTCACCCCTTTCAGGGTGGGGGTCCCCACTGGGGTGCCTGGCCAGGCTTGGTGAGGGGCTGCAGGCTGTTTGTAGGCTGGCCAAGCCCCCCAATGGGGACCCTCACCCCATGAGGGTGTGGCCAGCCTGGGTGTGGGGCTGATGGCTGTTTTCAGGCTGGCCACACCCCCGTCAGGGTGGGGATCCCTGCTTGGGTGCCTGGCCAGCCTGGGTGAGGGGCTGAGGGCTGTTTGCAGGCTGGCCACACTCCATTCAGGGTGGGTGTCCCCACTAGGGTGAGAGGCTGATGGCTGCTTGTAGGCTGGCCAAGCCCTCCAGCGGGGACCCTCACCCCATGGGGATATGGCCAGCCTGGGTGAGGGGCTGAGGGCCATTTTCAGGCTAGCCACACCCTCTCAGGGTAGGGGTTCCCACTGGGGGGCATGGCAAGCCTCGGTGAGAGGCTGATGGCTGTTTGCTGGCTGGCCACGGCCCCAGGAAACTCAGGCTCCCCAGCCCCTCCTTGAGCAGAGGCCACAGCAGCTGGAAGCAGGTATTTGGTATTTATTTATCTTCTATAATTGAAACTTTGTAACCTTGAGCAGAGCCCATGGCCAGCCAGGGCAGGTGGGAAGCTTGGCTTCCTCCATCATCAGGGGCAACCCAAGCCTCCTGTTCACTCCAGCTCTATGGCCACCACCATCTTGGTTGGGTTTATTTGCATACTCGCTCCTGATTGGCTTGTGGGCATGGCTTGTGGGTGTCACAGAGGTACAGTTGATTTGCATGTTTCTCTTTTATTAAATAAGCTGTAAATTTCCCCAAAAGTTAGACTTGGGATTTCTGTTGTTTTTTAAAATATAGTTTTCAATTTGCAAGACTCCGAAAATGGAATAAATGCACAATTCTAAGCAAATCTTTCCACCATCATTTTATAGAATGAAACCTCATCAGGAATATTCTGTTATAGTGACACCTTTGTTTCCAAATATGAAAATTTTCCAAGTGTAAATATTTCCCATCTCTTGGGCTTTGAAAGGGAAACTCTGCTTCAGTATAAACAGACAGAGCAGGGTACTGACCGCGATGACAAATAGATTGGGTGTTTCAGAGATGATCTTTCAACCTGTGGCATAAAGGGAAGGAACCAAAATGGGATAAAGCTCTGAAAGGGAAGTGAGTGAGTGGGATCACTGGATGCAAAAGGAAGACAAGGGTGTAGAGAGAGAGATTTGTCAAGGAACTGGATTTGGACATTTTAAGCTTCATTGCTTCATTTATGGATCACCATGGCAGAATACTAACTGGTTATACTGTTTCCTATATATTTCCCCTTTCATCCTACACACCAATATCAAAAGTATCATTACAGGGCACCAGTTCCCCACATTTAAAGGAACATTGCTATGGGCCATGCCCTGTCCCAGCACCTGCATCTGGCTGTGATTTACTCTCATATTTACCTGCAAACTCAGAAACAAATAGCAGGAAGGGTACATCAGTCTAGAGTATTATGGCCCCACATGCTGTTCCCTGGTATAATCTGGCAAATTAAGTATCATTAGGTTATTTTACCAGAGCTATTGAATATTGAACTGACTCACAGTATCAATTTCTGAATTCTTTTTCCTATTCTGATTTGCAGACAGGGAAATTTTCCAGGATCCAGAGACTTTGTCTTGCCCCTGACACTGTATACTTTTGTCATTCAGTTTTCACATTATGAAATTGTACAATGTTGAGGTTAAGACTTCTTAAAATCAATTCCA